TAACTAGTAACTATATACTAATAATTAATGTTTTATTTATAATATATATTGTATTATCTTTAATCACAATAACATAAATACAGTAATTATAACAAAACTATTAATTATAATATAACTATAAAAAAACCGAGAAATTTCGAACGAACGAAATAAAATAAAATTGTCGAAACCGCATACGTTCGAACTATGTCAGGTACAAAATTATGAAAGAATAATAAAAATGAAAATTATCAAAGCTATAAGACACTAATTTGATACAAAGCAAATGAAATCTGAAAGTATAATACTATAAAACCAATATCGAAATTACGAAACAGAATATGATTCATCCATTGTCAGTGCGAGTAAACATTTGACGGTACTGTAAAATTTGCCATAGCCATCGCCGACTAAGGGTTAAAGCGAATTACTCGGCGAAATCGTCTTAATATTTAAAAGTCGATTTACTATTGCCATCCCTGCCCCAACCCCACCCACCATTCGTTTACACCCGAGAATTTCACGCGATTTCGCGTTTTCCAGCGAATTTTCGTGATTTGAAAATTATCTGATCCTACTTCCTCCAGTTGACTGTCTCCTTGCTCAGCCTCGTCCGCGTTCTTTCTTCAGATCCTCTTTCGATCTCCACGTGATAGTTTCCGCCAGTTCCTCTTCGTTCCACTTTTGTCACCAGACGTTTGCAATTCAATGATGGCCGGAAGCTTCCACGGTTTGCGAATAAATTATTGATCAATTTAATAAAGAAAATCCGCGGACCGGCTGAGCCGCCGGTGGCGGTTCGAAAAACCGAGGCGGGAATTCATAAATGAATGGATGCGGCGACCTTTCCGTGAAACACGTAATCTTTTAAAGTCATTGATTTGCTCCAGCTTCTTTCCTTTCAACCCGTTGCTCAGCCTTATCGAAAAGGGCAAGAACACAAATGAATCAACCTCCATTCTTAATATTACTACGCGAGCCGCTTCATTAACCAGTGGAGAGCCGGCTTCATTCTAAATTTATGTTACCCGATAGCAGTATGAGCATCTATATGTTGCACAGCTTTGAGTGATTTCCTCTTCCTTAACCGGCTAGCTGTTGCAGTCTCTTGCGAAAGTG